CTCCCCAGCCTCTGGCGGCTTTCCTGAAGCCTGGGGGAGGGCGAAAAATGGTCCCAATGAGCCAACTGAAAGTTATGGAACAAACTTCCGTTTGGCTTTTCACCCTCCCCAGCCTCTGGCGGCTTTCCTGAAGCCTGGGGGAGGGCGAAAAATGGTCCCAATGAGCCAACTGAAAGTTATGGAACAAACTTCCGTTTGGCTTTTCACCCTCCCCAGCCTCTGGCGGCTTTCCTGAAGCCTGGGGAGGGCAAAAAACGGCCTTCCCCAGCCCTACGGAAGGCTGAAAATCAGCTGACAGCTGGCGTGCCAGAAAATATGGCTTCGCATGCCACCTATGGCACGCGTACCATAGATTCGCCATCACGGTTATAGGTGTTTCATCACTGGAGGTTTTTAAGAAAAGATTGGATGGCCCCCTGTCCGAAATGGTATAGGACCGTGATGGTGAACCTATTGCACTCTGGCATGCAGAACCCTCTCTGCAGGCATGCATGTCACCTGGTCTTCGGGTTTCTAGCGCTCTGGCATGTGCAAAGACCAGCTGACCAGTGTACATGAATGCACCGGAAACCCAAAGACCAGGTGGTCTCAGTTTCCGGGGCTCCAGCGCATGCATTCTGGCTTGGGAACTTGGTGCCAAAAAGGTTCCCCATCACTGGTATAGGGTCTTCTGCTTGAGCAGGGAGCTGGCCTAGAGGAGCTCTAAGATCCCTTCCAGCTCTATTCTGATAGATTGATTGATAATCCAATAAATCTTGTGCAGAGAAGAGAGATGAACTAGATGATTTCCAGGGTCGCTTCTATGACTATGGCTGAAATGGAAGAGCCTAGTGTAGACCAAGGAACTTGTAGTTTTTCCTGAGTCACCCATGGCCTTACATTCACAACTGCTGAAAATCACACACCTATTTCCCACACCAGTACAAAAGAAAAACTTCCTTTATGATCCCAATCTACCCTAACAACTTTCCTCAGCCGTAAGGTAAGATAACATGCAGACTAAGGGAATATAGTAAAGCTTCATTTGCTGATTTAGCTGAGAGATGTAATGCATAGGAACAATTCAATATCTTAGACAGCAGCTAGTCCTCCACTTACAACAGTTCTTAGTGACCGTCCAAAGTTACAACAGCACTGAAAAAAGTGACTCAAGACCTTTTTTCACACTTACGACCATTGCAGTATCCCCATGGTCACATGATCAAAATTCAGAGGCTTAGAAAGTGGTTCATATTTATGACAGTTGGAGTGTCCCTGTGATCCCCTTTTGCCGCCTTCTTATAAGCAAAATCAATGGGGAATCTGGAATCACTTAACAACTGTGTTACTAACTTAATGAATACAATGATTCACTTAACATCGATGGCAAGAAAAGTCATAAAATAGGGAAAACTCACTTAACAAACGCTTCATTTATCAACATAAATTTTGGCTTCAAAGGCTACATAAAACGGGATTGCTGATCAGATTGGAACATTAACAAGCAAGCAATTCTAAGTTAGTCTCTGTCTGGATTGGAAACAATAATCAAGGCAAACCAGTTTGGCACATCACCTCATTATTTTTTGTCCTAAGGGTTTGTACCAAACCCGTGTATTTTAGCACACTTACCTAAGCTGGTAGGTTTTATGAGAACGTCAAGCACATCATAAAAAGGGAGATTCTTCAACTGAACATCAGGATGCACTGGAGGAACCGAAGGGGACGGCTGCTGCATCTCAAAACGAGGCTTGGTGTCCTGAAGTAACACTGAACCAAGAGGAGAGGAAGGTGATTGGGGAGCGACCGAAGTTGAAGGTGCAGGATGCAATCCGGGCACGGCTAAGTCAGGTTCCGCCGGAGAAGAGCTACTGTCCAGGTTGAAAACTGAAGATTTTAGAGCAGTCAAGTCAGAAAGGCCTTCAATTGTCCTGGGATAGCGGCGCCTGTAGAGTTCCCGGATCTTGATCTGAACTGCTGGGCTACAGCCGCTCTTCAGCAAGTGCAGAGCCCTCATTAGGAGGTCATGTTTGCGCCCACTTTTATTACGTCCAGCAAAACCCAGCAACACTTGCAGTTCAGACACCCGAAAACTCGATACCATATTCTAGGAGTAACAACAGATCAAGAATAGGTGAAATGATGGGCAGTGGCAGGATGGACTGACAGCCCTAGGTTAAAAAGTTATAATAAATATGATCAAGTTTTATTTACATCATAATATTGTGTCATACCATAAATGGGCAACAAATCCTTTATGATTTAGGGGTGGGTTTTTTTTAACCAATTTGGTCACTGAAATATTGATGGTATTGCAATTGGGATGTAGTTAAAAGCCCTATTCAAAATATGTCCCACACATAAGTATATTTTTTCATAGAACAAGCAACATTAACCTCCATAATGGCAGCAATAAAGTAAAATATAAGTTCTAATGGTGACACATTTATAGCACAGACTTAAAAGCCCAAACAGTGTACTGTTTACTGTATTGTTTTTTTCCACAGTTTTTCAGATTTTTATAGCTACAGGGTGTCTCGTATCCATCGTCTTGTTCCATGCAGAATATTTGTGACTACCGCACAGCGTGAAGAAAGCTATAGAATCAGCTTAAATATATCAGTAAATCTGCACTCATTCCTTGGACCACTAAACTAGTGACTTGAGGTGGAATTCTATTTAATAAACACATAAATAAAACAAAACAGAGCACAAGATTACCTCCTTAAATTTTCTCAAGGCTAAATGTTCCTACTCTTCTGAATATTTATTCATCTTTCACAATCGGCCTTCCTCTGAATACAGATAGTCTTTAAGTTACTACAACTGGAACTGGAACGTATTTTGACAAATGAGTCATGCACTGCATTTGATTTTGCTTGATTTTATGAGCCATTTTTGAACACTGTCCTTAAACAAATCCAGTTTCCCCCTTTGGCTTTGCTTGCCGGAAGCCAGCTAATAAGGTCACAAATAGCAATCACATGACCCTGGGACACAGCAACCACCGCTGGTTGCCAAGTACCTGAATTACAATCATGTGACCACAAAGATGCTGTAACGGTCCTAAGTGTGAGAACCAGTTGAAAGTCACTTATTTCAGTGAGATTGTAACTACAGATCTGAAAATATAACATTAGTTTTACAGAGAGTTGAGAAAAAAGCAAGTCAATGCGTCAGTTACCAGCCGCAAAATCCAACCGTGATAGGCTTCTATTGTTCCATCCCCATTTTCAAAAGCCATTTTCTATTCCTCAAGATATTACCAAAATACAACTTCCAGCATCCCTTATCAACAAGTCTAATTTGTGTTACCAAAACTTGTAATTCGCCAACACCTGGAGGACTGCAGGACTCCCATCAAAGGTCTAGAATATTCTTCCTATAAGCAATACTCAAACAGCAAAAACAAATGAATGATAAGACTTTGTAAAGCTACCCCAAAAGTCTGAAATCTCCCTTCCTTGGAGATTCATCGGAATCTGTCTTTAAATGCTTCCTGAGAATTGGCTTTAAGAGTCTCCAGAGACCTTGTAAAGAGACCGCACCTGACATACCCACACCTGAAGCCCTAATAAACAGAAGAACACTGACAATCCCCTAAACTCCGCTGAAGATGTTACCTAGCTTGTAATGAAATGTTCAGAAACCAACCCACAAGCTTGGAGAACTGTTCTGACCCCCCTCGTCCCACACCAACACACACTCCGAGCAAAAGATAAATTAATTAACAGACAGACAGGTCCTTGGCAGCAATCCAGCACAGATAAGCCATGGCAGCAATCCAGCCTGCCAAGCTCACCATAATGTTCTTCAATATTAGTTCCTGCGTTGACTTCTGCAAGAGGTGTGTGTGCACAAGCAGTCCTTTTATAGTCTGGAGAGGAGCCTAATGACCACCAGCTGGGTGCAATTACCTCCTTTTTTGGAGTATA